TGCTGATTAGACACATACTATTTTTGAGGGGGTAAAAGCAGTCTGAATACTGATTACCCATCCCACCTGACTTCCAAGAGAACTGCAACATGAGAGGTTTCTCCAGCAAAGACAATCCATCCCCTCCAGAGTAAAGGGATACACCACCAAAGGTGCTCTTTTCCAGGCAGACACCACAGAAGGTGCTTGCACTTATCCAAAAAAGCCAGAAGTCATTGCTACAGGGAATGGCAGAAGAGAGGAGGAAAAATTACTAAGAAACAGCAATTTGGCTCTTCTGCTGGTATAAACTTTGAGTAATTTCTGCAAAATCATCTCACACTTCTATAAAACATGCTGCATTTCACCTTCACTAGGGTCAATTAGGAAGAAAAAAAAGCCCTTTGCACTCTACTCTACTCTAGAGGTATAGACTTTTCCAGGTCTTTTCAAGACAGCTTCTCTAATTATGCACTGATTATTTCCCACTGTGTCTCAGAAAATGTCAGGCAAAACATTTACTATGAAACCTCCCACGTTTTACTGAGTCCAAAGCCTGTTACTAGGGTATAAAAATAGCTCCTTAGTGTCCATGTAAAAAAAAGAAAAAGTAAAAAAAAAAATCAAGACAAATAGCCTCAGACCCTTTGGGCTGCTGTGTTGTCTCATGGGGCTGTCATTGAAAGGCTCCTCCTCACCACAGGTCCTGCAGATCCCTGCCTACACTGATGACAACAGACGTTGTCTCCCCCCACAGCTTGACAGACCCATCCATGTTTTGCCTTTAGGCAGATTGGATATTCCAGCCTCAGAAGGAGTTCAGCATCTCTTTCCAGCGTGCTCTCGAGTAACTCTCTGCCCACAGCTCTCAGTTGGGTGTGGATGTCTTTGGGCATATTGAGAGACAGACATGAGGGCTGCAGAGTTGTTGCCTTTAAGCTTGCTGTAGACGTACCAGAAACATCATGATTCTGCTCAACATATGGCCCCAATGGTCCCTGCAGCTCCAGCCCAATGTGGTCTTTTAGGTCTTATTTCAAATCCATTGCCCTTTTTGATCTTTAGCTCTCTACCATGTTAAGAGGATTAAGGTTGTTAGAACTTGGTGTCTAAAGTTCCCTTTCATGTTGCAGCTTCATGCTTTCTGGTGTTGGAGGTGTTTTTTTGAAATGTTTAAAGAGTTACATTTTCCTTGTTGTGCCTCAATGGTACATCATTTTCTTGGCTAATAGGATGGCAACAATTCGATATGACCCACTGCCAAGTGACCAAGCACATGGAGAAGGAGCCAACCCCTTTCCTTCCTTCACGTGTGCCCACACAGAGCCAGAGCCCTTGGCAGGGACTTACAGAAGTGACCTCCCTCCTGTAACTGTACTGAAACACAAACTGGCAAGATTTCCAATGGCTGTTAGACACCACATCAACTTGAGAGCCCGAGCCTCGGAGTGCCCAATTCCCACTCCAACCAAGGGGAGGGTCTCATCCCTCATGCTCACCCATTTGGGCTTCTCTGTCTTTCCCCTGACAAGTGGTCTGACTGTCACCCAAGGAAGGACCATGGGCATGTGTCCAGTGGGAGCTTCCCAGGGTGCAAGGACTGGATACTGTTGGCTTTATTTCTTGTACGTCTTCCAGGTTTTGTACTTTGTATAAGGCTCAAGGGAAGGATTTTTAAAGGAACTGGGAATGACATTTGAATTGAAGAAACACATCCTCTGACTTTGAGGACTACTTTCTACAACATATATGCTCTAGACAAAGGAAACTCACCTGAATTTTAAAAGAGTGAAAATAAAGTATGGAAGTCCCTACTGTGTCTGCTGAGGACTTTGATCAGCGAAGGGTTTACTGACCCTGTAATCATTTTAGATTTCTAAAAACTCATGACCTCACCCTGACTGGGCCACGAGACCAGGACAATGATTGTGCCTGAACATTGGCAGACTTGCAGAGGAGGTGTAATACCTTTCTGGTGCTGTAGGTCAAGAACCTGTATTTGGAATTATCTCTCTAAAGATCTGCTGCTCCATGCAGGTGTGATGGCTTTGTCTGTACCACTTCAGTTACCTTCTAACTTACCCATCACATACTACCAAATCCAGAGATAGAAACAGCCTCCACCCCTCACCCC